GGTTCTCTGAACTACTCAAAAATTCCACTACCGGTTCTCCAGAACCTGTCAAAACTGGCTGAATACCACTTCTGCTTCTAGTCAACAGAGCCTCTTTGCAAAGTTTGCATTGTTTTTACTCCTCCATTTTCCCTTCACTCACGTATCTTCCGACGGACACCCGTGGTGGTGAAGCCCCATGCAGACCGCCGCATGTATCCTACAAAGCACCAAAAAGCCTCTGTCTCATTGTCCAGGGTCTCTAAGAAGCGACTGGCGAAGTAATGCATCCCCCGACAGTATCCAATCTCTATAGAATAGGAGAGAACAAAGCAGAAGCAGGAAGAAAAGGGAGGACTATCCAACAACCACTCATTCAGAATTTAGATTCAGAACACTTTGTATGGGTTGGGAAGCTAAGCAGGCTCAACTCTGGTTAGCACTTGAATGGGAGTCACTGTGGAATTCCATCATTGGCTAGATTGGGAAAATGGAACAACAGCTGGGAAGAGGTTGGCGGCAAACCAATTTCATAAGGCAGCCATGAAATGTGCACAAAGGCAGTCTCCAAGAGTTGAACTGGATTCCAGAGTCTCTTTACCTGTGGTGGAATGTAGTCTGGATTCCCGAGGTGGGGCGGGGCTGCATTTCAGAGAGCAAAGAGGCAGGGAAGTTTAGATAGTTTGGTTGGGAGAAAGAAAGTGAAGGCAACTCCACCTTGTCAGTTCTGATTAATGGTGCAAGTAGTTGCTTTAGTTTGGCAAGTTTTCTGTCTACAAGGGAGGAATAATAAAGGAAACTGCTCAGAATTAATTCTGTGTTACTTCCTTGGGGCCTGAATTCCCGGCCAGTATGGTTGAACTGTTCAAAACTAGATAGGGGAGGTTAGCTCAATAATACACTCAGAAATTGAATTGCATAATAATAATGAGAACAGAGAAGTTCAATGCTGTCATTTCTCAAACAAAGGCTCGCTGAGTTCTACACGCTGTTATATATATTACTTTTGCACATTATAGTTTTTTGAGAGGTTTGGTCACTTGCCCAGCAAAATAAAAACAGGAAATAGGTAATAAATATCCTGTTTTCCATGAATTTTCTCTATGCTGCCTAGGGAATTCTGGGATTGAAGTCCACAGGTCTTAAAATTGCCAAGGTTGGACACTCTTGATCTAAGAGGGAAGAACAGAAATGAAGTGACTGCTTCAGATGTTTATAGGTGGGGAATAGAGCTAGCCTAAGACAATTTGCTGCTTGAGGCTTGCCCACCTACCTATCCAAATTTAATCAGTACATTAACTGATTAGCTGATTAGATTGGTGTCCTCCCAGCCCCTGAGAGCAATAGCAACTATATCTTAGAAAGCATGCATAGATGCTTATTCTATGAACAGTTTAGCCTAAGGCAGCTGCCCAGTGATGGAGCCAGCTGCATGGGGAGAGACGGAGGTAGGGTTTTACACATTCTGCATTATGCAACATCTACCCGACTCTGTGTGAAATATGAGAATGTTTAGCACAACATTCAGCAGGTACCTCTGGAGGACAAATCTGTTCCTTCCTTAGAACCTCCTTAAGAAAAGCCCTGCCTGCATCTGTTTGAAAAATACTTTGAACTAGAAAGTATTTGGCACATTGAGAGGCCCATATAAATGATGAACGGTGGAACTGTTAAGTGTCAGGAATAGAGAGGTGGGAGGTGGAGAGAATAGGGGAAAAAATAGACAGCAGACTCCTACTGCCAGCTGCAGTTCCTGGAAGTACATTGTGTGGCGGTTTCCTCACCTTGGTGAAAGGCCGCAAACGTGATGAGAATATCCCGGAGGTAAAGCAGCTTCACCAGCCCTTCCCGTCTGTAAAGAGAGAGGAAAGTCACCAGTGCGAGCCACAGTGGCAGGGACAGATCACTCATCTCCAAATAAGAGAAGACATGGTCTTGAACAGAGTTTGCAGATTATACAGTGATCGGTGTGTTTCTGCATTCATGTATAAATAATACTTAGAATCTAAGTAGAAATATAAATCAAAGTTTGCTCAATCTGCTGCCGGAAGGTAACTAAGCAACCTCAAGGTTGTCCCTATTTTGTTGTTGTGGTTCTTGGCACAGATAAACTGAGGCTGTCCTTAAAAAAGCAATAAAGCATTTTGAAGGTGGGGGGAACCAATTTGATTAGAGCAGTGGTTAAAGACAGGGATGTTTAACTCCTTTAAGCAGCTTCTATCCAGAGAGCTAGTAACTATATTAGGAGGTAGAGGAGTGGGAAAGTTAAGCATCTGTTTGTCTAGATACCCCGCCATGAGCAAGACTGGATCACGCTATAACTGCTTTTAATTAAAAGAAAACATGGCCAGGTAATATGACTTTAGATCACCGAATCTCTCTTGGCTGTAAGAGTTCACTTTTGAGTAATTTTGTTTTCTCCAAAGTAGAATGCAGAGTAAATGTCAGCAAATAAAAGCACGGTAAAAGGATTCTGCATTTTCCAAGAGGGATGAGTAATCAAATCAGTTTGTAGTAAAAATGCAAACATTCCTCAAGGTAATGCTTTTGTGTTTCTGATATGCCCATATTTTAATCCAATTGGATTTGATAGATATTCCCATTTAGCCCTGCCACAATTTTTGATCTGTCAAGCCCAATGAAACCTGTCGGTTGTTCAGTTCACTAGCTGTTTATAAATGTTCTTCTTCCTGAGTCTGGCAAAACAGAAGAAGCTAGGCTGGGTATTTTCAAAAGAGAGACCCCAGCCTGAAAATGGAGAGTTTGCAAAATGGGCTTGGCAATCAGCTTTTTTTGTTTCGGCTTAGTTGTGGCTGGGGAAGAAGATGTCCTCACTGGAAAAAGGTCCGGTGTCGGTCAGTCCGGGGAATGTCAGCATCAATATCTCTCAGTGCCTTTTGGAACTGTTGTTCATTAACATATTGGAAGGACGGACTATTCTGGTGAAAGACAAAATATTAGTTTAGGCTTAGTGATTGAGCACACACAATGCATCACCGGTAGGTAACATCCTGATCAGAGGTGGATTTCACATAATTTTACCACTGGTTCGCCGTGCACCAAAAATGTGAGTATGCACGTGTGAGCATTTGCTTCCCTCGGGCGTGTGCTTTCCGCGCTTGCGCTTTGCTCACATTCACAGCTTGCATGCATGTGCGTGGCTTAGAAAACGTGGCTAAATAAGACAGCATAGCATAAGTGGCCACTACCGGTTCACCCAAACCAGTCTGAATTGGCTGAACACCACCACTGATCCTGATTGGTATCTGGGAGACCAACAACAATGGATAAAATGAATCAAACTTAGGTTTGGTGCAAATGGAATTGGTTTCAGGCATATTCTCTTAGTCTCTACATCCTGGACATAAACTGTTTCAACTTCTTCCCTAAGATGACACTATAGGGCATTGCATGCCAAAACAACTAGACGCAAGGACCGCCCCCACCCCACATGCCATCATTCTGCTAAACAATTAATTCCCACAACACTGTCAAACTACCAAGTAGGGCTGTGTTACTATTATTCTACTCATCTTTCCTATTACCTATTTCCTTATCCTCTTACGATTATCTTTGTTGCTTGTATCTTATGATTTATATTACCGTATTTTCACGACCAAAAGCCGCACCGGATTAAAAGCCGCAGTATCAATTAACGTTAGTTTTTCAAACTTTTT